TAAATAAACCATTAAAAAAATTCTTTTAGACACACCTCACTTTATTAAATGAGTGCAAGTTTACACAGAGACAAGACCTCATTAATACAAGAGCCCTTTGAAATCAGTTTGGCCAATGGTAAGAGACTAGGGTTCCCACAGACACCTTAGAAAACATAGCTTGCTAGAAACAGATGTTTGGAACAGAAGGGCATAGATTAAGATGGCCTCAGAGACTTGATTAGAGAGGTTTGGGTTTGTTTTGAATAACTGCACCACTGTTTAAGTACTCAGCACTGAAGACTGATGGCAAACTGTACAGATCAGAAAACAGTGAGGCAGTTTATAATGTTATCATCTCCCCCACAATCTCAATTTCTGCACAAATAGTTGCAAATAAACAGGTAACAAGTGGAGTTTTCTGAACTCTGAATCAGGTAAGTCTTGCCTTTAAACTTTTTCATTAAGTTAGGTGACAGAATGCATTGAGATGAAGCAGCACAATGCACAGCCTGTTACGGTAAATCAGAGTTCAGCACAACTCAGGATTAGCCAGAAAGCAGATGCAGCATCCACCTTCTGAACCAGAAAGATTCTCAAACTGGGAAATCCACACTCCAGACTGGTACAGCTGGTTTGGCCAGTAGGTGCTCTTTCAGCATAGATGCTTCAGCATCCTCAGGCTGCAGATGCTTTCTGAACCAAATACCTCCCCAGACATCTACATAAAATACCAAGTGAGAAATGAGGCGGTACACCTGTAAACCTCACTCTCCTCCTCCTCCTCTTCTGCACAGCCGTATCAGTTCTTTCCATGATGAAGATACAAGTACAGATCAATCCCTCATTTTTCAGTTAAAATTGGAAGAACTATTCAGACTTCTATCTTTCCCCTTTACATATAGGTATTTCTTGAGCATGTATCAAGAATACTGATTCACAACATTCTTGTATCTGCATAGTGTTGAGAATTTTAATTTTCTAAGGTTTTGGTATCACAGAGAGTGTGTGTTTGACACAAGCTACCCTATTACACAGGAAATAATAATCATTTACAGTGTTAAAATGCAGCAAATTGGGATGTTTGCAATTTGTTAATATGACATTCACTATTACTAATACAAACGTATTCCTTGAGGAAACCCCAACCTATTAGTGTCATCTTCAAAATAATTAACACAGAACTTAGAAAACTATTCTGGATTTTTTTTTTATAATAAAAACTATTTTTTAAGACCTTAAATATCTCTTAAGACGACACTATTTTGACGTTCATTAAATTTAACTATTTCTAAGTTAAATTTGTTATTCAGATGTCCTCAGACATTCATTCATCCAGTTTTATGCACAGAAAACTTAGTACCAACAAAGGCTGGGTTACTGAGCCTGGCTATACAGCATCTTTCTTTCCCTGAAGCAGGAAGAATTTCTACAAGTTAAACTTTAGCACTTGACAGTGCTTTACTAATCCTACTGTATTTTCTGGTTTTACCGAAAATGGATTAAAACCTCTTAAAAGCACTTTCTGTAAGATTCAGCCATATTCTTAGCAACAATGCTATTGAAGTGAGAAGTGCTTTAAGTGACTTAATTCTCTAGCCAGCTGCATTAACAAAATTATATTCCCCGTTATTTTAGTCAGCAATTAAACATGCCAGAAGTTATCATGCCTTGCTGGGAGTAAAAGGGAACCACAGATTCAGGAACTTCTGCATGACAAGCCAACCTTGTGGTCAAATGGCTATTACAATTTTTGGGCTAAGTTATTATTTTAAGACTCTTTACTGCCCGATAAGATAGGTCAGGTTCTGCCATCTCAATGACCCTGTTAATGGTCAAGATGGTGGGAGAGCAGGAATACCAACTGATCTAGGCAATGAGGACAAGATGACACTACATCAGCTACAACTCTTACTTAGCATACAGAAAGCTACAAAAAACATTTCAAGGACATCTCTATGTCACATATAAGAAAAATTATCATTACAATGACTTAAAAACCACAAAACCTTATTTTACCGAGATCAATTTTAACAATACTTACTGCTTTTTAACTTGTAGAAGAGCACACCTATGGCTTCTAATGTGACCAGAACACTGACTAGCCATCCTTTAGTTTAGAAGACCAAGCCTTCTTCAGCCAAATGCTATTCAGAGAATTATTTTACTTTGTGGTCCCTTATCTCTTGGCTCTGAGACTGCAGACTTGCATTAAGGATGGTTATAATCCATGAACTGTAAACTGGGATCAGTTAACCTAAACAACAATGGAAATGCCTTGAAATCATTTAAGCATGCATGAGTAAATAAAGAGGGGCAGAAGAGAGGGAAATAACATTAAGCAGGCATCATCAATATCTAAGATTAAGACAAATTAAGTCATTCAAGTGTTTCCTCTCCTTTTCTGTATGTTTGATAGCAAAATTAAACTCACCCATTTTGTTGCCTTCATCACTATGCTGCCCCTGCAGGCTAAAAATGCACTCCCAGAAAGAGTTCTTTAAATGAAAAGCAAATCCTTTAAATGAAAATTTAGATTTATTTTGAAACTTTTAAATGGCATTTTATCAATTTAGACACACTGTTTGACATCAGATCAGAGAATTTACAGTGACTCACAGATAGATTTGGCTTTTACATTCAAATGTTAAGTACTTCAGAATAGCTTTGTCTTGTTATTTCCAAACCAGAAACACTAAAGAGCATTTTACTTTACCTTTCAACCATCTTTGTTAATTAACAGACTTTTGACATCTGCTGTACCTGAAGGGGAACATGCACAACACCAAAAGAATTACGTTGTTTGAATGAATGAGTACCTTAGTTACAGCTCCAGATTTCAGACTAATTCACTGTAGCAGCAAAAGGAAGTGCTAAAGTAGAAAGACAAGATTTTAAGAAATACGTTTTCCTCAGGTAGACTGCAGAGCCTCACTTACTTGGAAAGCCTCTTTATGAAGACAGAAGGGTCTTGCTATCCAATGTTGAGATCATACAGTCTTAGTTCAGCAAAGTTTGCCAAGTTTTCATAATTATTGTGGAAACAGTATTACAGAATTCCATCCTATCCTAATGCTATCCTTGTGTTAAGATTAATTGAATTTCACTGTTAACCACCATCAGACTTTAAACTGTGTCAGTTTTATTGCTCACTATAGGGTTTTTTCCTGCTCTCTAGCACTAACTTAAAACTGGATAAACAGAAAACATTTGCAGGGAAGAGATTTGATCAGTTTACCTATTCTGGCAAGGAGAGCATCCTGAAGTATGTACAACGTAACTGTTCCAACACTCATCTTAAAAGTTCAGAACCCCTCTGGTTTGTAAAAACAATGCAAGGTCCAAAGCACTGGAAAAAAGCTATAAAGTATAACTTTTATGATATGATGACACAAGGAATCTCATAGTAAGGTACTCAAACAATTAAGATTCCTTTGTATACACCTTAATATAAGAGGCTGCCACTGCCTTCAGACAGCAAGCAGCACATCATGAAAGATCTGGGACCACAGCATCAACTTTGTGCTAGAGTCAAGCATTTAATGAATTTATGGGACATGAGGTAAACTGAGATTTTGTCTTGTAAGAGGAAAATACTTCAAGTCTCACATAATACATTTGCCCCCTACCTTTATTTTCACTGTCTGACAGAACACCATTAAAGGTGTGGCAGGAATGCTCTATTGCCCAATTCCAGAAGTCTGCTGCACATCAAAAATCAGCCACGTTCCCTGCTCAGGAACACACAGCAGAAAGTGTGAAGGCTCTGTTATATTACAGTTTTAGAAGCCACATATTAAACATGTATATAATCTTAATCTTCCCTGTTAACCTAGTTAATCCACAGGTATGATGATATGTATCTCAACATCCAATGAAACAAGTGTATTCATAAGCTCTTAAAGTACATAGTAAACTCAGTTCTGTCCCCTGATCCCATTTTCAAGTTTGTTTTATTCACTCTTTTGGATGACTATAAATAAGTGTTTCCACTATGGAAAAGAAAGTTAGCACAGTACATTTTCATGACTGGGGAATGGATTTTTCTGAAGACATCTTCAAAAGGACAAAAGCTTAGAAAAAAATAACCTGAATGTTAAATTCAGTTCCTTATAAAGTCCCTTGTAAAAAAAATAAAAAAGAAAAAAAAAGGGGAAAAACAAAAAAAAAAAAAAAAGGACAAAAAAAAGGAAAAACTGCAAGGCCCAGAATGATTTATTGCTTTTCTTCAGTTTTTTCCTTGGTCTCTTTCTTCTCAGATTCTTTGCTCTCTTCCTTTACAGAAAGCTCTTCTAGTTTTTCAGCAACTTTATCAGCGCTATCATTTTTGTCTGTGCCTGCTAAGAGATTGATTAGGAAGAAAGTTACAAACTGGCAGTAATGGATTTTCCTGTTAGAGGGGAAAGTGGAGGGTGAGATGGGTGGGGATACACCGCTGGCATTCAGGGTAATAACAAGAGTAAAGAAATTCTCCACTGATCACTGGAGCAATTAATTCCAGTTCTTTTCCTCTGGTAAGCACCTCAGATGTCACAGTTCAAAAAATACCACTTGAGGGCCTGATCCTACGGACTGAGAAACACATAACATTTGGTCACCTTTGCGCTACCAGTAACAGACTCCATACAGTATCCAGTCAAGACAGTGTCTCAAACCCATGGCTTCTTACGTATCTTAATCAAAAGTCAACCTCCCCAGTTTGAAACTGGGGAAGAGGAAGTTGTTAAGACTGAAAAAATCTGATCTAAATATCTTTATGAATGCTGACTGCAGACCACTCATAATCTGTACTTTAGAAAGATGGAGGTGTTTGTTTTACATGGTGAGCTATCTTGACACAGGCAATTCTACAAGGCAGTGCATTAACAACTATAAAAATTAAGTATTCTACTCGCATGATTATATATTTGTGGAATTTGGGAAGGGGAAGTGGAAAGAGGAAATATCACTGTGGTTGCAGTGTTCACAGTTCATTTGTGCAATATAGACCAGAAATGCTTCCTTAGTAGCCTTTCAAAAAGGGCAATGTCCCAACAGCAACTGTAACAGCCTTCTATAAGAAAGAAGGCAATCGTCACTCCTGTGAAGTATTGCTCTCGCAGACAGAAAAAGCACCTGAACTGAAGACCGCAGTTCAGTACAGAGTGAGTCTGCTGAAACAGCACTCTAGGGTGCTGTAACCACTCAAACACCTGGAAAAAGTAGCATGGTACTACACTTAGACTTGTAACCTTACCTTTTTTTGCTCTCTGGTTTACTTCATTCCTGCATTCTTCAAATTTTGCCTTGAATTTCTGTGCATCTGTTTTAGTACAGAGAAAATATATTTTTTCATTAGTTTTACCTCCTTCCAACACTGAATATTTCCAGTCTTGAGTAAAGATACTTGAGGAAGTTTTGTTCACACAAAATTCGCAGGCACTTATGAAGTAGTCTAGTTTAAAATCTTACAAGATGCTATGTGAAATTCTTGAATCACACCTTGTGCAGAAGCAGTTTATTTTCTTTAGCAAGTCTATTAAAGCACCTGATTTTGCAAGGTATTTAAAACTATGCCAGAAGCAGCTGTTCTATAGTTACTGCAACTCCCAGCTGTTCCTAGCCTACAGGAATAAGAATGTCAGGAACTGCTAATATGACTGTGTCCTAAAGTCTGAAGATCAGCTACTGTCTGACAGCTACACTATACCCTAGAAGACCTCCAGTTCCTTACCATAACTAATGATTCTTAACATCAAGAATGCAAGGTAAAGCCTGTTTCACTAGTACAGCATTCAAATTCCCCAAGGCCCAGACTCAAACTGTTCCTGACTACAATAGCTAAGGAAGCATAACCCTTGTTATGTTTTGGCTTAATCCACCACTTGATTTAACAGTCATTCCAAGCAGTTGATCAAGTTACAATAATGTTTCTATGGAAGCAGTATAAGCAACAGGACACACAAGCAGATCATGCAAGGTACTTTTTAACACCAGAAAGGTAAGAAGGTAATTTGGCATATGCCAACTCGGGCTGACTGACCACATGAGGTCACTGTTCCTCCACAGGAATTCAGAAGGCACTATGAAACTAGTTCAGGAAGTATTTGTATCAATTCCTTTCCAAGCATCACCAAAAGGAAGGATACTTGAAGGGCAAGCTTATGTCTACTCACATCAGCTGCTCAGTCAGTACTGCAAGGATAAACTGCCAAAGAGGACTTCTCCCTCAAGACAAACACTCAATGAGTTGAAAAACTTCTACCAGAAGGAGACTTTTCAAAGAGAAACAAATAGTTACCAAACCCCTTTAATTTCCTGATAAAGGAAGAAGCAGTTGGACCAGAAAGACCTATTTGGTTAAATAACGTGATACTGGAGACTTCAGGATAAGGCAGCAAACAAGATATACTAAGTTCTTCCAGATATAGGGAAATCCATCTAGTTAAAAGAATATACATTAGCCATCCAGCATGTAGGAAGAAGAGGTAGCTAAAACACCAAACTTGTGTGGCAAATGGCAAAGCAGGAAACACATTTTTCCTCTTTCATTTTGCTTTTTTAAAGAAACAAAAAACCACTTCTTTGATTCAATCCTAAGGAGTCGGGAAAGCTACATCAGCATTCAGCCCTAGCTAACTGATCCATCTGTAATCACAGACCTACTTTCTGTTCTGGTAGTCCTGAAAAAGAGCATCAACTACTATGATAGCACTTTCCACTGCACATTTTAAATTCGATCAAAATAAAGAAGATACTCAAAACAATTATAGGAAAATATCAGATGTTCTGCTAATGCAGACAGACCAGCAATTTCAGGTCAGCATTTCCTTGCTTCTAATGCAAACATGTAATCAACTACAATTGAGCACCTGAGATAAATGAGAGCAAGCTCATGTATTAATCTCTACCCCACAGTATTACTGCTTTAAATTTACTCTAATTGGCATTACACTTGCATGACATGGCTTAAGTAAAAAAAAAAAACAGTGCCTGAGGCAGAAAGCTCTACAGCTACTATTGGAAACCTAATGACTACACTGTTTGTCAACACATATGGTTAAGCAATTAACCAACTTCTCTCAGTTGAAGCAGTAATTAGCTAACACCAGCATGCAGTGGTAAGATACAGCACATCTGCAACAGTGGTTTACTGTAGTGTTTAGACATGTAATGTAACTTAACAGTATAGCATCAATGTTAAGTTCAGTGCCAGTCTACTCACTCTCTGCATTTAAAAACCGGATTGCCAGAAGTTCAGGCTTGGGGCTTTCATCTGCAAAGTCAGCATGTGTGTTCCAGACCCACGCCCTGTCACTCCCAGCATTAGGCCTGAGCTCCATTAAAGGTGTGACTGAAAGGAAAACATTGAAAGATGTACAAAGCACAATAGTAAATGTTTTCCACAAGCCTCCATAAGTCTTACTGACAACTGTCTGCAATGCTTATGTAAAACACTTTTACACAGAAATACTTTCAGGTAAATAGAAGATAACGGTGCCCATATATATCTTTTCCTTACGTTGTCAAATAAAAGGCTGAAAGACCATCACTGTATAAAAGAAAGCTAGATTCCCTGTTTTAAGAAACAGAGTTTCATTCAATTGTTGTATAAAAAAAAAGATGACTGTGATGCTAAGAGAGATGCAGTCACTAAGCACAGCTCTGAAGAACAGTCACAGTTTAGGAGGAAAGGGAACCCAAACAAACCACATACATTCTTTTGCACACTGCAAATGCTACATATTACAGAAAAATATTTAAGAAAAGCCTTAGTCCTATAATTAGTCAAACAAGGTTCATTTCTCTCCCATCATCTGCAAACAGGTATTACACAATTCTGCAGTGCTGCAAGATGTGCACAGAATATGTTCAACCCATTTGATCCTTCCCAGTAAATGGAGCTCTTCCCCTCCAAGACATTATAATTACTTTGCTTGACTGAGGAAGTTGGAAATTTACTTGTCAGAGTGCTCTGAGACTTTTTGTGTTACCGACACGCAAAGTTTAAACAAGGCTTTTTTTCCTCCCCACTCCCTGGGTCCTTTCTTTAGTCTGGGAGAAATCTGAAGCTTACTCACTTTCTTGCACGTTTTAAATTTAGAGATCAAATTACATTTTGTTTAATGTTTTGGAAAACACAAAAAACCCTTCTGAGATGAACACTATAAATTCATCAATTCTGTTTTGTGCATGTGCAACATTTATTTTTCTAAACAAAAGGTTTATTCTTGTTGGCTGGTGACTATACCTCTTTTGTATTCAATTGCTAAACAGGAACACCTGTGTCCTCTGAATAGTCTGATTTTCTGAAAAGATCTGCCTACAGAAAACAAGCATTATTGTTTCTGACTTTGGATTTGTATTAAGCTACTTCAAGCAAGTTATTTCAAGTTATCTAAATGTGATTTAACGCCAGAGAATACTATTGTACTCTTCATGTAAAAACCTGAGTATTACCAAAGCAAGCAAGCGACAAAGTATTATCAAATTAGTCTACTTGTTGCTAGTTCTACTGACTTTCAAGTCTGCCTTGCCCTTTCATGTTCATTTTTATTCAGAGGATCAAAGGAACAAACCCCTCCTCTCAGCTCTAACTACACCGTCTTTTTGAAGGATTAGCTGAATATACCATGTTCAATTAGGCAGCCATAGATTAGTCTAGCATCTCAGTATGTTTTCTGATTGTTAAGCAATTGCTTCTATCAAATCAAAGTAGTAAATTGTTACATGATTACTTATTTTCCATTCTTTTATTAAAACAGCCAGCATACATTCGTTATTATTTTCCACACTCTTAACTATTAAAATGAACATGTACACACTGACGGGGATCAATCACATAATACCTGCCTATCCCAGCTAAATTTGAAGTGTCTTTAGGACACTATTGGAGTCTGAAGGGGAACAAAAAAAATCCAAACAAAACCCACCAAACCCAAAATAATAAACCCCAAAAAACTTCTAGTCCCATCCTTGCAGACAATCATCAAAACAAATTAAAGGGTCTTTCCATTAACAAAAATAAGCATTCATTTTTTCTGATGCTTGCAGCCTTGTGTGCATAGCAACAGACAACTGTATCTACAGTCCAATATGAAATTGGCATCTCTTTAAAGACACACAACAGTTTTCTGCCTGCTACTAAAAAGACACTGAGATCTTAATCTACAATGTACACTTTGACAAGCTTATTTTTAAAAACAAGTAGTAAAGTTTAACATACTATAATGGTTTGCACAGATTTTTAGGGTTTTATCCCTCCTCATGAGAAGGCGAATTGTTCCCTTCTCCTTGTGTTTTAGGAGTTTTACATCACCAGTTCCTCGTTCTTTCCATTCTGGAAGGTCATTCTCAGATGCAAATCGAAATAGCTTTGCTCGCCTTGAGGAACAGAGAATTCAAGAAGTTAGCCTGCATGTAGAAACATTTATCAAACAGCAGACTCAACATGATCAGTACAGTTGTTGTTTTAAAAGCCACACACAACAACAAAAAAAATTATTACTTTAGCAAGGTTCCCTGTTCTGCTTCAGCATTCAAACTGAGAAACTGATAAAAGAAACCCATATTTAGTAACAAACTATTAGGAAATATGTAATATTCTAATATTGAACAGATTCTGGACACACTTTGGGGGATGATAAAGGTATTTGGTGTAGGCCACCTTTTAAATTAAGGTAGCTAATTAACACATTTTGCTATAGCTAGAGTTTTTCTATCTATTATGAATACAACTGCTCTATCCAACCAGCAATATTTATTCATTCAAGAAACTGAGCACCTTGAGGCTAAGACTCTTGCATAATTCCAAGCCCAATATTTGATCAACTGTTAACAAAGTGCCTCACCCTCTAGAGTCACTCATTTCCTTTTAACTCCTAAAACTTAGTTGTTGCTTTTCTTAACTCAGAAATAAAGGAATCGCTGTACTGCAGTGCAGCATACCTGCTACCTGCTTCAGAACATCCCTGTTTAATTTCCCAAGATGGTAGTATACCAAAAGAGAAACAGTAGTCTGGTACATTAGCCAAAACTGACCCAAGAGGCTGTCTGAGCTCTGCTAGTGAGAAATTTAAGACTCTGCTACAGAAAAGGAAGCACCTATTCACATGACAGGATATATATATGAAAATGTAAGAGAGCAAGGCATAGGGAATTGTAATAAGGCACGT